TTCCCCAGCGCTGTTCCCCTCCCCCAATTCCCCAATAAAAACCTTAAAAAAGAAAAAAGAAAAAAAAAGGTGAAGAAAAAAAAGTCCAGGGTGTGTTTAGATGACTGGGCAGACCAATCTGACAAGGGCCTCAGGGAGGAGTGCTTGGGGATTACACTAAAAAAGTACAATGGGGTCATATTGTGACAGGATTTAAATGACCAACTAGGACATCCAGAGTTTGTTCTGATGATAGTCCATATGTATATTTTTATGCATTTATGCATCCTTGTCTTCTCTGCCAGACTTCTCAAGCTTGGTTAGCCCCCACCCAGGCACAAAGTCTGGCACCAGGAGATGAGGGGATGATGGGAGGCCCAGTAAGAGCTGGGAGGCTGAGAATCCCAAACCTGACACAGCAGGTGTCCACCGCTAGGTGGTGGTGGCAATCAGGCATCTCCTCAGGCTCTCTGGGCCTCAGCTTTCTCTTATCTTTTAAATGGAGATGTTGTCTGCTTTACTTGGGAAAACATAATTATATGACCCTGGGCTAGCAATAGAAGAACCCTCTTCTATGGCTTCAGAACTATCACCATCACGCAGTAGCAGTTGGCTCTTTAAGTTACTTCTCTGGCCCTTATACCTCCTACATATAGAAGGAGGTTAAAACAGACGTTCTCAGAGAGCTGTCCCCAGGGTTCCTGGGCTCCTTTCAGAGGTCAAAAGCTATTTCCATAACAGTATTTAGAGCTATTTCTCCTTTCACTCTATGAGTGTACAGAGTTTTCCAAAAGCTACGTCATATGTGATGTTATTGCTCTAATGATAACTTGCGATGGGTTTATTACTGTTACTTTTAAGTGGATTAATACATTTAAATTTTTTCATGTTTTAATTTCTTAAAAAGCAAATATATATTCTCCATACACAAAAAGCTCTTCAAGGTCCAAATAATTTTTAAGTGTAAAGGGGTCCTGAGACCAAAACGATTGAGAACCATTAAACCAGATTTCTAGAAGATCGTGGTCATTCACTCAACCAACAACTGGGCCTCCTGTGACCAGGCTTTATTATTTTAGTTTAGTTTAGTTTTTGATACGGAGGGCCAGGTGACGATAAAGACATGGTCCTTGCTCTGATGGAGACCACACGGATTTACTAACGAGATAATTTCTGAGAGTGGTAAGCTTCATAAGGGCATAAAGCAGGACACGCGGTTCCTGCGCAGTGAGCGACGGCTCGCACAACAGTGACACCTCACAGCGCGGTGGCCGGCCTCCTGCCCGCTGTCGCCCCCGGGAACCTCAGCCCTCCNAATAAATAAATAAATAAAGGGATAAACCCTATTAAAGGCTATCACTTCCCCAGGATCAGCGGACAACTCATTCATCTTCTACCAAGAAACTTGTAGACCCATTGATTTTTTCCTTTAACCAAAGTAAGGCAGCACTCTAAATCTTCAATGAGATTTCCTTTCATACAGAGCAACGTTGGGCTTGCTATTGTAAAGAATAAAGGATGTACTGAGTATTTTTAGAAAGGCATTCTTAAATTACATGTATTTCCTTGACTATATTACAAAATGCATCTGCTCACACAAGTGAAATATATAAGTATGATTTAAAAAAATAAAATCAATTTAGCTGGTGTTAAACAGTGGAACTATTGTCACAAAATAATAAAATCACTCCAATTTTCTTGTAGGAGTCAAAAGAAAAAATGAAAGTCTGACAGAAACTGGTCCTTCGTTAGTGAAATTGCATTTGGCAGATAATGGCATAGATGGAAAAGGAAAAGAAGGAGATAATGGTTTGTTGGAATTCATTCAAATTTTAACATGGTGAGTACAAAATTAAGAGGTTTTATTTGTTCATCTTGCAAAACTAGGTGCTTGGCTTAAATCATGGAGACAATGATTTAATTGCAGCTTGTCAATATTGCAAGTGTGGTTTTTCAGCTCTGAGAGGGTCTTGGTACGTGATCTTAAGTAAAGGACTAAAATCATAGAAATGGCATGGCAGACAGTGGTTTGTGAGCCCACAAAGGAGTATCAAAGACCTCACTGGAAACCCCATTTTAAGGAGTTGGCAACTGAGGAAAGGCAGGAGGTATGACCTCTAGATTTTTCTTCCCTAAAGTCATAGTATAATATAAAATGTAAGCAATGTAACCTGAGGAAGAAAGGCAGTCTGCTCAAGCGTGAACACTCTTTCAGGGGAATTGGATAGGGCAGGGTCCCAGTCAGCAGGGTAGAACAGTGGAGCTCACCACATCAATCAGATTCAGATTTGGCCGGAGGGGGCGGGCTCAACACAGGAAAGATGGCGCCTGCTTGCTGGCTGCTGGGGAGGAGGACTCCACATAATGCCAACTCCCCTCCAGCCTTCACCCGGAAGCCACACACCTCAGGCTAACCCCCATACGCCTCTGACACCCTCTGAGTCACCATCCCTCCGCTGGAACCCAAGATGAGTGCCTGCAAGCAAGTGAGTCTGTGCACAGTCCCTTTTAGAGGACATTTGGATTTCCTAGTCTTCCATCCCACCTGGAGGGTCGGAATCCCCAGTTTTTCACAGCCAGATTTTGTGAGGGTTCCTTTTGCTGGCACCTGTAACTCCAGGCTGGGGAGCCTGCTGGGGGCTGGGGTCCCTCAGTTCTCTGGGGATAACCTCCATGGCTGAGATATCCCTCCTGATTCTCACCCATCACTCACAGGTACGGGACCCGTTCAGCGTTTCTGCCCCTCCTACCAGTCTTGACATGGCTTCTTCTTTATGTCCTTAGTTATAAAACTTCTGTTCAGCTAGACTCAGATGGTTCTCCAGGTTGGTTGTTCTATAATTTAGTTGTAATTTTAATGTGTTCACAAATGGAAGCAGACACAATGTTTATCTCCTCCGCCATTTTGGATCCCCCCCAAACCAAAACTATCCATTATCTATACCTTTAT